AATAACTTCCCAGCCCAGGAACATAGAGCGATTCATTGAAGCGATTTGTACACCTCTGTATTTATTAGAAACCTGAGGTGCTTGAGTTCCGGATTTAATGTATCCCCTGCGGGTTTCGAACCCACGCGCCTTGGTTTCCCACGCCAAGGCGCTACCGGGTGGCCGCATTAACCATTCAGCCACCGGGGAAACATTAGATAGTAGTTTCATACTGTTTCAGTGAGACTTACTGTCTACTCTTATCACATTTTTCAAATGAGATCATGATTTTCACTTCTCAATTTAAATTATTTTTATTGCTTTAAATGACTTTAAATCTCATTTGAGTGTTATCAAAAAGCATTACTTTTTAAAAAATTAAAAATAGTCTAAAAAAAACCTTAAAATGTCTAAAAATAGTAACTTTATATCAAGAATGAGACTAAATGAAATCAAATGAGATCACTTTCTCATTTTTTTCAAGTCACAATTTCATTTTAAAATCTCATATATAGTCACTTTGCATGTTTTTTTAATAACTAGTCTCAGCAGAATTCATATCAAGAAATGTATAAGATCAGATTAAATAAGATCAAATGTGAAATTCATGATTCTGACGGCCAGTCTAGCTGCAGCAACTCAGACAGTATTAAATAAATAAGTGAATAAAGTGCTTGCAGAATTTGCAAGAGCTCAAGAGTGATATTAAATAAGATATGATTAAGACAATCTTCTCATCTACGGACCTCAGCTCAGCTGATATGATGCTCAGACATGTAGTTATAACATCTTCAGAGTGTGTTTATCTATCAGAATGTCTGATGCATACTATATTTACTTAACTGAAAATAACTCTGATATGTAGTAAGAGAAGAGATTATACTCTGTAATTAAAGTATTATATAGCAGTGCAGATCTGAGATGAAGAACTGAGACATTTTTATCATTGATCACTGAGTTGAGATATTCAAAGAGCTCAATCTTAAATCTTATATTATGCATGTATATAATAGACTCTGACAAAGATTAACATTTCAAGACTACTAAGCTTTATAATGAGATTATAACAAGAATGTGAGTAACAGTAATTCAGAAAAAGTGAAGTATTAGTCAGAGAAGAAAACTAAGTCTGACTGAATAAAATAAGCAGAAGAAAGCAGAAGTCAGATAAGACTGATTAAAGCAGCATAATAATCAGAGATTTTCAGCTCAGGAAAATTGAATAAAGATGTAGATAATAATATGAGATCATTATTTCACAGTTATACAAAGACAGAGAGTCAGATGAGAAGATAAAGAGTGATACAGATTACAGAAAAGCATATAGAGAGCAGAAAAGTGAGAGTGTGAGAAGAGAAAGAATATAAATATGCATGTGTTAATAAAGAGAGTCAATGAGCTCTTATATAGAACAGGTCAGTAAGGTGATAACATTTAAGCTGGCAGATCAGAGTGCATACAGCGTCTTTCTCAAACGGGCCGCGCTAGCAGAGGCGCTTGACCAGACTGAATGACGCTAGACCCGATCGGAGTGACGCGATTCTACATGCGGCCAGGCCGCCGGATCTGGCCGCGCCGACGCAAATTGAAAATCTTCTATAAGATTAATAAATTTCATCACAGATATTAAGATAATTATATAATATTAAGTTAAAACTCTACACTGAGATAATAAAGAAGAGTTTAAAAGTTAAGAACTTAAAATCTACTATCAGAGTAAAGAAATAATGTATGAAACAACTACATCTGATACACTACAATTGAATAGCTTAGTGAAACATATAAATTAAATAGTTATAGAGAAGACAAGAAGCTTGCTATTTAATAGTAAGCTGATAAAAGAGCTCTAAGATAAGATAATACAAGTTATAATTATAATAATTAACACATTCTCAATATTAATGAAGATATTTAAATGTAAGAAAGAAATATTACTTATATCTTTTAAAGCTTAAACTAAGATGCAATCTTCTATTCATTGAATACAGAGATAGAGATGCAAGATCTATAAGAAGAATTTAAAAGTGTTAAATAAGCTTATAGATAGAACTGATGATAAGAAATAACAGCTAATTAAATATTAAGAATTATATTAATATTATATATGAGATTCTGTTATATATTATCTTAAGATTGTATGAGATGTTATATTTAATAAAGCTCTTAACATAAGTGTAAATACACCTGTAAATACAGTGAGAGAATTCAATGAATTGTCTAATAAATTGAACATTCTGAATATTAGAGAGAAATAATAATACTATCTTCTGAGAAAACTTATAAAGAATAAACTAGATATTATAAAGATAATTATTAATAAGAACTTAGAGAGTATAATTAATTCAATCTATCTTCTAGATAATAAAACACAGCTTATTATAAATAAAGAGTTTAAAAACTTTATTAATAAGAATGATTCTATTCTAAGTATTCTGACAGACTGATTAACTACATTAATAAAAGTCAAGAGAAGCTCAGACTAAGACTATTAATATAAAACAATAAAAAAGAAGATTAAGATATTTAAATAAAAGAAGATATATATTATTATTAAAAAGATCTCAGAAATGAATATTCTTATAGATAAATAAGTATATAATTAAAAATTCAATAATAAAAGAGAAATTATCTGTTTTAAAGCTTACTAAGTGATTAGAGAGTTCTTATAATAACAGAGTATTCACTATATAAGATTATATACTATAGTAGTATCAGAGTCTATATCACACAGTCTATTCATTATATTAACTGTTAAAGAATAAAAGATTAAATTAATTAACTATATATCTATGTTTTTAAATAATATATTATCTCAGAATGAGATAATCTATATATAACTACTCACAGATATTAAGTACAGTAGAGAGAGCTTGATAGAATTACTCTGTCAGAGTCTATATAAAATAAAGTAAGCTGTGAGTAGACTGACTGTATAACCGTGTCTGAGACCAGAACCAGATTTTTTAATAGTCTTATTATCAATTTAACCGATTTCATTACACAGTTTTAACATTAGATAGTAGTTTTATACTGTCTCAGTGAGACTTACTATCTACTCTTATTACATTTTTCAAATGAGATCATGATTTTCACTTCTCAATTTAAATTATTTTTATTGCTTTAAATGACTTTAAATCTCATTTAAGCATTATCAAAAAGTGTTACTTTTTAAAAAATTAGAAATAGTCTAAAAAAAACCTTAAAATGTCTAAAAATAGTAACTTTATGCTAAGAATGAGACTAAATGAGATTAAATGAGATCATATTCTCATTTTTTTCAAGTCATGGTTTCATTTTAAGATCTCATATATGATCACTTTGCATGTTTTTTTAATGACTAGTCTCAGCGGGATTCATGCTAAGAAATGTATGAGATCAGATCAAATGAGACTGAACGTGAAATTCATAGTTCTGGCGGCCAGTCTAAGTATGAAACTACTATCTAATATTAAAACTGTGTAATGAGATCAGTTGAATTGATAATAAGACTATCAAAAAATCTGGTCCTGGTCTCAGACACAGTCACACGGTCAGTCTACTAAGAATGAGACTAAATGAGACTGAATAAGATCACTTTCTCATTTTTTTCAAGTCATGGTTTCATTTTAAAATCTTATATATAATCACTTTGCATGTTTTTTTAATGACTAGTTCCAGCGGGATTCATATCAAGAAATGTATGAAATCAGATCAAATGAGATCAAATGTGAAATTTATAATCTCAGTGATCAGTCTAGCTATGAGAGTATAGTATTTTCTAGCAATGAAATATCTTATTATATTAAGATTTAAAATATTATCTTATAACAGTGAATTTCTATATTATTCTATTTATAAGATTTATCTGATATTACATGTCAATAATTATCAGATAATAGAATTTTAAGAGCAGTAATTAAACTGAGTATTAAAAGAGATTGTAAAGAGATTTAAGATAAAGAATATTAAAGAGATTAAGTTATATCTTGAAATAAAGATTAAATATCAGAGAAATAATAATCTAGCAGTTATACAGAGCTGTTATATTAAGAAGATTCTTGAAAATTTTAGTATAAATAAGATAAATTCTGTGAGAACTTCAATGATAATAAGTATACAGCTGAAATTTTCATCTGATAAGAATAATAAATTAAATAATAATTTCACTTATATAAGATATTATTAAGAACTGAAATTATTACAGTATTTAATCTTAAGTAGTAGATCAAATCTGATATTCACAGTTAACTATCTCTTATATTTTAACTTATATTTATACAAAGTATGTTAAACAGTGTTAAAGTATATTCTATATTATATTAAGAAGATGAAAAATTATAGTATATTATACAGAAAGAAGATCAGTGATAAAAGTTTAAGTTCTGTAATATACTATAATTCAGACTGAGTGAGAGTGAATTCTTAATACAAATTAACTACTGATTATATTATATTAATTAATGAGTTATCAGTCTTATAATAGTTGTAAAGACAGACATCTATTATTAAATCAATCATAGAAGCTGAATATATTACAGCTAGTAAGACAGCTTGTGAGATAATCTGATTGAATAATATGTTATATAACACTGAGTTAATGAATGATGAAAAAGTGAAAATATACTCATATCTATGAGTTGATAATAAGAAAGTAATTGATTTAGTAAAGAAGAAATTCTTAATACAAAGATTGTATCATATTAAGATTAGATATCATATTCTTCATAATTTGATTGAAAAAGAGGAAATCATGATGAAACATGTTGATTCTACAGTGAACATAGCTGATGAGCTCATCAAGCCACTGGTGAAGCCTGCATTTGAAGATTTTGTTAAAAGAATTGATTTGAAAGAGATCAGAAAGAAATGATTGAATGATAATAATAATACAGTGAATCAATGAATTTTGCATCATACGGACGTCTTTCCTAATGAGGAAATCAGGGTCCGATTCATGTAATTAATTATTATTGCATTTTTGAAAGATTTGAGGATGGGGGAGGCCCCCGGTGGTGGCTTATTATAGGCCACGGCGTAGCAAGGGGGTGTTGGTGATTACTACACCTACCCTAGTCACGTGCCACCCCAACCTATTTAGTGTAACTCGCGTAGTTAGATTACAACACAACACAACAACGTTATCCTCCAAGACTCTGTGAGGTCATGTGATCACGCACTCAACGGCAGGGAATTTTAGGCGCGCGTCAACTATCGGCGGAGCTCAGGAATGGACTACTTTCCATCCATATTGAACCAACACTAAATCTATCTGACAAAAATTCTCCAGACATTCGCGTTACCATTCTATAGCGGATAGCATATCAGCCTGAGTTGGACCCAGGATCAAGGAGCGGATATTGGGGACTTGCTTGCTTTGTGCTGTCAGGTTTGCAGCCAACAACAGTGTCCGAGCCGTTCACCGCCGCAATCTCGGCAACATGTCGTTCTCTGTGCCATTCAGCTCGAGCCCTCCACCCTCAACTCCAGATAAATATCAGAGATTTGCGAGGAATCCATCCACTACCCCGGCCGGCGCCCCTCCTTCAACTACCCCGTTAGGGCCCCCTCCCTCTAGCTTATTTGGGAGCTCCAAGCTGGGAAGCACCAGGGCCAAATTGAATTTTGGAGTCGCTTCATTTGACCAATCTATAGACTCGCAAGCTTCAGAAGATCTAGGTTTATCAAACGCCTCGTCCAACTTCCCCTTGCCACGGACAAAGGTCAGAGGTCCGCCTCCATTCGCCTCTCGTAGCGCGTTCGATTCGCCGGGGAATAGATCTTTTCGGGAGTCAGATATAAATGGACATACTGCACGGTCAAGTCGTGATTTCGATTCTTACACCGACGATATTGACCAGGACAATGGCATGGGAGATAGTCGTGCAGGATTTTTAGATTCACGATTCAGTGCTTCACACAATTCTCCAGTGCACTCTCCTGTCCATAAATCCTTCATCTATTCCAACCCCGGCCAAGCCAAGCGAGCAAAACTACATGAAAGATGGGCCCAACCACCTACAACCAAGCCCAGAATAACGCCAAGGAAAAAGAGCTCAATGTTTCCGTCAATTGCCCGTGATCTAGCCTCGAGGTCGCAGATTGCAATGGTTAGCGAACCTAATGAACTTATTCTTGAGACTGAGGATATATTTGGCCGAATGTACGATCAAGTTCGGGAGTTCGAACATGATGACGACGGTCTTCAACAGGCTCTGTGTGACATTTCCAAGGATCTTTTGGATTTGTGGGAACGACATACAGCAGGCTCATCTCGCGCCCAGCCAAATAGTCGAACCTCTACCATAGGTCCGGAAAAGTCTGCTCCAAATATTGTGAAAGCCAATTTCCTTGGATCCCTTCTCCTTCCCCTCCATCATCCTCAACTTCAACGGGATAGAGCCCCTGAAGGAGGCCCCTCTGTTCACATTGGTGCTGTTCGCGCCTTTGCACCCAACAAACCTAAAGCTAAAACCCCGATTCCTAAAGTCCTGTTCGATTGGATAAACCATTACCATACCGCACAAAATTCGGACCCGAGTACCGTCTGTAGCTATCAACCAAATCCCACCGCTTCTGCAGCATTCTGGGATGTGGTTCAAACCTTGATTTTGCGTGGGAATCCATCTCCAGTTATCGATCTTCTAAAGAGTGCAGACTTTAATTATGCTAGATCGGCTATGGAGGATGGCCTCGAGCAACCCGGCTATCGAGGGGCCCAGCTTCAAAACATTCAAAAATGTGTCAATAGTGCGATTCAGCTACTTAGCGTCTCTCCAGGCGTTCAAAACAATGATTGGGACATTAAGAACCTTGACTGGGCTATATACCGAAAGCAGATTGCCGCCGCAATTTCTGAACTCGAGAATTTAGCTGAAGGCCAGGACCGCCTGCCTGAAGCACGGGATCAGTTCCAAGCACCCAATTTCGGCATATTTAATCAACGGAGTGCTTCCTCTTTTTCTCAGTCCACACGAATGGCTGAGAGCCAGGTGCCTTGGACGATTTATCAGAATCTGAAGACTATGTATAACATCATGCTTGGAGATGTGTCTTCGATCTTGAGTAAATCGCAGGACTGGGTAGAGGCTACGGTTGGTCTCACTGCCTGGTGGGATGGCGAGGACGACAGCGATATAACTGCTGGAGAAACAAATTTCAACCGAAGCGTGATGAGACGTTCTCAGTCGCAAGCACCCCGTTCAGTAGATTCAAACCCCGAGGAAGCATACTTGCGTCGCCTGGACTATTCATTTGCCAACGTAACGGAAAACTTGGGAGAGGAAGGATTTCAGGTTAATTCTATGAACCCTATGGAAGTGGGTTTGGCTTCAGTTTTCGAAGGTAACATCGAAGGAGTGCTGGAGATGCTACAAACTTGGTCACTGTCTATCGCCTCCGCTGTTGCTGAAGTTGCAAGCTTTGGTGGATGGCTGGATACATCAGTAGGCTCCAAGCCAATGCCTGGTTTCAATCAAAATGATCTCATGGTTTTGAATTATGGCAAAAACGAGAAACCGCTCCGAAAGGATGATATTTTGATTAATTACGCAATGGGTCTCTTCGATCGAAATCCGCTTGAGAGTCCTACGGGAGCGAGGGATGGGTGGGAAGTTGCACTCGAGGTCCTGAGTCGTCTTGACGACCAAGAGATTATGAGGACAAAGGCTACAGAATTGCTTGACCGTATTCCCCTTGATACGTCTGAGCATATGGATAAAGTTGTTTTGCTTTGTGCGGATCTCGGGTTCAATGATGAAGGCCGTAGGGTTTCTGAGGTAAGTTTCAAATCATCAATTACTTTCCATTCGCATACCTAACATATTTTCGACATTAGCGATATGGGGATAAAATAGCAGAGTCGTCTGAAGAATACGGAACAGCCCTCATATGTTACGCAAGAGCTCATAGCTACAAAAAAGTGAAGAACGTTGTCGACCTTCTCACTTCGTTTTGCCTTGTCCGATCCACCGCATATCCGCCTGCATCTGAGCTCGATGTTCAACTTCGATCGCTTCTTTACAGTCCGCGAGCCGCGTTATCAGCAATTGCAGCTGTCGACCAAGAGGCGGCTGGTATGCTCCAGTTCTACTTTTGTGGATATGCCGCTGTGAGACGCTTCTACGACATTCGTGACGAGGAGGTCTATTTGCAAAAGGGGGAGCGACCAAAATATCGCCCTCTAGCTAGAAAAAGAGCTGCCGCTGAAACTCTCGTTGCGGTCATCCGCAGTGCAGCCGATAGCATCTATGGTGGCTTGTACGATGGGGAACGGAAAACATCAGTTCAAGTTGATGGACTCCTGGTGTTGCTAGGAGAAGCTCTCGTATTCTTGGAAGGTGAGTTCTTCTGTTTCCTTATCCCCTGGCTATTTATTTACATATTCTAACCTTTCGAGTTCCAGAACCCAACCGCTTCCTCACCACCGACCAGCTATTAACCATCCTCGCTGCGATCGAAGATCTCCAATCTGTCACATCACGTGTTTATGACCAGTGCGAAATGTGTCTGCAATCGACCGTATATCACCACTTCAACTATGATGCCCTCGCGAACAGTTCATTTGGTGATGAATCCATCCGATCCCCGGTGACATCATCCTTCGCCGCTCCACCACGCAATCTACTTAAAAAGTCGGTATCATCGCTGACCGCAGTCAGTGGCTTTTCTCTGATCGGCAGTGAAATGCTCGAATCCCAGAGTCGCAAACGGGATGGTGGATCAACTTCCATTGAAAATTCGGGTGTGCTTATTCCCCACCCAAATGCGAGGCAAGGGGGTGCCGATGTGAAGCGAGGTTGGGACTGGAGAGCGAGAATTCGCAAAGATGTGAAGGGGCAGGATATTTTGAGGATCTTGAGGCTTCAGATTGCTAAGGGACTAAGTTTCGGCGCTTTGGGATCTTGAGCGGAGTCTTTTCCATTTTCCATTACTGTTCTTTCCTAATGAGCAACGTGGATGGGTCTATTATTCGGTTGAGAAGGGATTTTTTTTCAGGTATCTATTTCTACTTTCCTATGAATAACAGCCTTAATATTTTCTCTTTTCCCTATCCGCTTCGAGATATCTGGCGTCTAAACTATTAGATTTATGCAAGAAGGACCATCAACATGGATTTCCCTTTTTCTTTATGCATTTTCACATTTTTCTTTCCTTTTTCGCTTTGCATCTTTAGGGAGTGTATACAGTCGAATATGGAGACGGATCACTTTTTCCTTTGAACCATGAGCTATTAGGCACAGACAATAGCATTTCCACGCATGGGGTCCGCCCGGGAACGCCACCATCCATCTGAGTAGGTGATTAATAATGCGATACAGAGCACTCAGCTATTCAGCTTAGAGAAGTGTATCAATCAATATGGACCACCTGAATTCAGTAGCAACCAAAAGATAAATATAAACATGACAAATCGTCGACGAAAATTTAAATCCCGGCGTTTCTTTTGGTGCTTTCACACTGTATATGGCTTAATAATGTTTTCATGGCGGCTGTGACGATTTCTCTTCTGGTCAAACGCTCGACGGATGCGTGGCGACTGGCGTCAAAGCTGGTTTTTTTACCTGACTAACTTACCATCCTGACCTCGTCCCATCCATCCTCTTGGACGTTGGGGGCCATGTTACGGAGCTCACCAGCCACAACAACAACGCAAGGGAGGGATACGGCGCCAAGGCGAGTTGTCAAAAAAAGGACGCGAATTTGCCCCAGGAGTAATCCGTAGGAACACCTGGGTTTCGGGAGCTGCGTCCAGTCGTAGGTCAGGATACCTTGATCCTGCTACTGGCTCGTTAGGCGCACTCCAGCTCTTGTGAAACGGCCGTCAAAGCAGTGATTGTTGTTCTTTTCCCGCCAAAATACCCTTTTGTAACTATCCCTCTGCGGCCGTATGAGAGGAAAACTGTGCGCAATTTTGAGAAAGGGGGCCAAAATCAAATGGCCGCCTCGTACAGGAGTAGTATTTTTGACCCGGGCTGAGTGAGGATTTCCCGACTATTGCGATCCCAGCGATCTTTCTTGAACCCTGGGTGCCGATCCCAAGTTTTGGGGATTCTGTTTCTAGTTTCTATCCTAGAATCTAGGCCGCAGTTTCAGCTAGGTTGGGTTGTCCACCTGCATGGGCTCTGTTTCCTGAAGAATAACTTACAGCACATGAACTCAGCAGCTCCTGGGGCATGTTTTGATCAGCACAGGGAATAGAATGCCTTGCTTACATACCCCTTGCCTGCATAGTTAACTACCGAGCTAAGCTAGAGGAAGTGATCATTGAGTGTCCCAAAGGGTTCAATTACAATGTGAATGATATTAGGAGATTTGTGACTATAAGCCGCAATTTACTTGTTTTGGGCTTTGTTCTCAAGCTACTTGTGAAGTACGTGCCCGGCTGGTGCTTTGCGAGAAAGCCTGGCTGTGCTGAAAGTCCCACAAAAAGGCTGGCTGGAGTTATTTTTGAATGTTGTTCACCGCTGCCTTGACTGCAGAGCTGGTACTTCGTTATTCAAGAGCTAGGGAGAAAGAGAAGAGGAGTTCCAACAATGCATGCACATTCTCATTCTCAATTCCGCATCTTGATTTACTACAAGCAGAGGTATAAGATGGTAAGATCAATGGAAGGAATCCTTCATTGCATCTATCACTTGAATCAGTGACGCGGTCCTATCCATGAGGCTGTTCCACAGCGAATCTGCTAAGGGACCCGATGGATTTGAGCGCGGATGGGACTGATTTTGCCTTTCTGTCATTGTTGTTTCTGCCAGCTGGGCCCAAAGCTTCCATGAGACCATTAAAACCATGCGCAGATATATCGGTGCCATTGTCCGAGAAGGACGTATGTTCATATCTATGTACAGTGGCGGAGACACCTCGCATCCTCCGACTTGCAGCCGCGGGAGAACGATACCCCAATCTCTGTCCGCGCGAGACACTGAGGCATGCCTCACACATTCTCGCAGCATGTGCAAGGTGGTAGAATAGATTTCTACCAAGCGAGAGTGGCAAGAGAGGACCATAAGCATGGTAGATTCATCATTCCAGTCCACAAGTGGGTAAGGCACACTTGACGATGCAACTTCTTCAGACCCAAGCCGTTTTACGACTCACATGAGCTCAAGAGTGAGATGGAAGAGGTCCTCAAAGACAAAGCGTGTTGGTTTGCCAGCTCTCGCTTCACATCTTGATGGGAGATTAGAGGCATACTCATACATTGCCACACTAAGGCTTGCCAATTGTTGAATCGGAGATGTCACTGTTACTTGCGTTCCCTTCTGCTCGTAGTTTCTAATACTCGTGGAGGAGCTGGGCGAGAACAAAGCGCCACCAACATTGCTTACGACACTGTTCAGTGAATTTTCGTTCCTTGGGGTGCAGAAGTTGCTATAAGGAGAGATGTTGTCCAAAAACGAGAAATTTTCGGGTCCCAGCCAGGAGAAGCCCGGTTCGACCGTTGCTAGAGTCAAGATGAGCACGTTACTTTAGTAGAAAGTGACTGAAGAAGCTGGAAGGCAGCATCCTAATCTGATAGCTCGGAGACTAGTGCTGCTTCACTTCGAGAAAATCCCACCTCCATGCCTTGTTCCTGACCAGTCATCGCATCTGAATGCGCATTCGGTATGGTACCTGAGGCGGGGATAAGACCTGTCCGTGAAGGCCTCGTCATCTGTTGTGCACGCTGAGCCTTCAGAGAGCCCTGAGGTGCGCGGATAGAAAACTGGCAAGTTTTTCCTAATCTGAGGCATCGCTCGCAGCGGGCTTCCTCCGGCTTGCGGATACACCGGAGTTTTTGCCTGTGGCAGGGGTTACACGCTGCCCGCCCTTACCGCGAAGCCTGATCAGGCGTTGATTCGCCAAACAGTAAAGATGGACCCACGAGTCCATCCATTGATGGGAGATAGACAGAAGATGCAAGGCTAAGTGTTAAGGGCGAAAGTTTTAGCTCAGGCTCCTCTGACAAACTTGTATGCAGGTTCGGTGTTTTGGGCTGCACGTTCGGCGAGAGTAGTTTAACTACTGTGGATTGTGGATTAATAACTAATGATCTTGGCTGGCGGGACTCTCACAGTAACTAACTAGTTAACATAACACCAATCTGAGAATGCCTCTCTACCCAGCGCATTATCTTTGTCCCTTTCATGTTATTTATGTTGGCCGTTGCGGCCGTTGCGGCTATCGGCTGTGGCGATCTCCCTAGATCACGTAAGCAACCACTATATTTTCTTGGAGGATAACGTTGTTGTGTTGTGTTATAATCTAACTACGCGAGTTACACTAAATAGGTTGGGGTGGCACGTGACTAGGGTAGGTGTAGTAATCACCAACACCCCCCCTTGCTACGCCGTGGCCTATAATAAGCCGCCACCCGGGGCCTCCCCCATCCTCAAATCTTTCAAAAATGCAATAATAATTAATTACATGAATCAGACCCTGATTTCCTCATTAGGAAAGGCGTCTGTACAGCAATAACTGTAAAAATCAAGAAATACATGCAAAATTCATTGATCTGCTGTATCATCATTATCATTCAATCATTTCTTCTTCTCAATTTCCTGAATGCCAACTCTCTTGACAAATTCTTCAAATGCAGGCTTCATCAGTGGCTTGATGAGCTCATCAGCTATGTTCACTGTAGAATCAACATATTTCATCATGATTTCCTCTTTTTCAACTAAATTATAGAGAATATGATATCTAATCTTAATATGATATAATCTTTATGTTAAGAATTCCTCCTTTGCTAGATTAATTACTCTCTTATTATCAACTTATAAATATAAGTATATTTTCACTTTTTCATTATTTATCAACTCAGTGTTATATAATATATCATTTAACTAGATTATCTTACAAGCTGTCTTACTAGCTATAATATACTCAGCTTCTGTGATTGATTTAGTAATAGATGTCTGTCTCTGTAACTGTTATGAGATCAGTAACTCATTAATCAATATAATATAGCTGATAGTTAATTTGTATTGAGAATCTATCTCTGCTCAGTTTAAATCACAGTATGTTATAGAACTCAGATCATCTTCTATCTTCTTCTTATATAATATATCATGATTCTTTATCTTCTTAACATAATATAGAACATGCTTCAACACTGCTTAACATGCTTTATATAAATATAAGTTAAAATACAAGAGATAGTTAACTGTGAATATCAGATCTGATCAGCTACTTGAGATTAAATATTATAATAATCTCAATTCTTGGTAATATCTTGTAGTTATAAAGTCATTATTCAATTTCTCTCTCTTATCAGATAAGAATTTCAGTTATATATTAGTTATTATTAAAGTGTCAGCTGAATTTATCTTATTTATATTAAAATTTTCAAGAATCTCTTTAATATAATAGCTCTGTGTAACTACTAGATTATCATTTCTCTAGTATTTAATCTTTATCTTAAGATATGACTTAATCTCTTTAATATTCTTTATCTTAAATCTCTTTATAATCTCTCTTAATACTTAGTCTAATTACTGTTCTTAAGATTCTATTATCTGATAATTATTAATATATAATATCAAATAGATCTTGTGAATAGAGTAATATAGAAATCTGTTATTATAAGATAATATCTTGAATTTCAATATAGTTAGATACTCTGTTATAAGAAAATATTATACTTTTATAACTTACTTCATTTTATATAAACTCTGACAGAGTAATCTTATCAAGCTCTCTCTACTGTACTTAATATCTGTAAGTAGTTATATATAGATTATCTTATTCTGAGATAATATATTATTTAAAAACACAGACACATAGTCAATTGATTTAATCTTTCATTCTTTGATAGTTGATATAGTGAATAGACTATATAATGTAGACTCTGATATCACTGCAGTATACAATCTTGTATAATAAATACTCTGCTATTATAAGAACTCTCTAATCACTTAGTAAGCTCTAAAATAAATGATTTCTCTCTTATTATTGAACTTCTGATTATATACTTATTTATTTGTAAGAATATTCATTTTCAGAGTCTTCTTAATAATAATATATATCTTCTTCTATTCAAATATCTTAATCTTCTTTTTCATTATCTTATGTTAATAGTCTCAGTCTGAGCTTCTCTTAGCTTTTATTAGTGTAGTTGATTAGTCTGTTAGAATACTTAGAATAGAATTATACTTATTAACAGAGTCTTTGAACTCTTTATTTATGACAAGCTGTGTCTTATTATCTAGAAGATAGATTGAATTAATTACACTCTCTAAGTTCTTATTAATAATTATCTTTAAAACATCTGGTTTATTCTTTGTAAGTCTTCTTAGAAGACAGTGTTATTATCTCTTTATAATGTCAAGAATATTCAATTTCTCTGACAGTTTGACTACTTCTTTAATAATATTCACTTGTGATTCAAAGGTTGCTTGAGCCAGCGTACAATTACAGGCATACACCGGCTTCTTATATATGTTATCTAAATTAATTAGTGGCTGCTAGAGCCTCTTTACATTTGTAAGCATGTTCAGAAGCAGCTGTGTTATTATTCAGTGATTATACATTCTTCTAAATCACATTCTCTTTCATCAGATTCAGTCACGCTCACATGACTATAATATAAGCTCTAGTCTCATGTGAATTAGTGTGCTACTAGTATTCACAATCATAGTCTATCTCTGATTCAGCTAGTATTTCTTATATACTCTTACAAAGAAACTTTTACTATATTATATTACTCATTCACTAACTTTTTTCATTCTTCAATCATCTTCTTTATCATTATTATTATTAAATGTTACTATCTTATTCAAGATTTCTGCTTCTGCTTCTGTTTAACATCTTCTATCTGTTCATCTATTACATTATATATGTTTCTGGCAATGACTCTCTGTTCTCACAATAAGTGTCATTGTAGTACTTATACTGAGTAGTTTGTTAGCAGTAAATGTGATACATTGTGAAATATAACTGAGACTTGTTTATCTTCTAATGATTATTAGAATATATTATCATAAATGATATACTCTCTTCATCTTCTTATACACTTCTGACTCTCTTTTCTCTAACAGGTATCTGATTATGTTTTCTGATCATGTTTTCTGATCATTTTATATAACTGCAGATACTGATATATTTGTTTTGATTTATATAGAATCTTCATGTATTAACAGATTTATATCTGCTAATGATTGTGATCTCAATGTTGAATTGTTGATTGAGAACTTGAGAGACATAATAATGAAGAAATTGCTTATATTATATGTGACTGAGTCTTCTGTATCTCTCTCTACTCTCTCTGTTTCTTTCTCTACTATCTCTCTTTAATCTTCTACATCTGTCTCTGTGTCTGATTCTCTCACTCTCACTATCTCTGTTTCTGTGACTCTCACTTCTGCTACTTCTGCTCTCTCTGATTCTGTTATCTCTGCTTTCATTATCAGCTCTCTCTGTTTCAAGAAGATGTTGTATAGACTTAATAAATCATGTTTCTCAGTATATATACTTCTGCTCTTCTTATCAACTTCTAAAACAATTTATTATATAAAGACTGTATATAATACAATTATCTGAAGCTTGATTATGAATATCAATTATTATATTCATTTTAAATATTTATAATAAGACAATTGTTTATTTATATCAGAGAATCACTTCTTCTCTTAACAGTGTTAAAATTATAAGTCTTTTTCTTTTTCATCTTTTTCTTCTGATGCTGATTTTCCTGTTCTTAGAGAAAATCATTATAAGTTTTATTATTATACATGAAGTGATGATGTTCACAGATATTAAGAAACTTTTCACAACTGTTAAATTCAATATTATAAGTATATTCACTCTGATAAATTTCTTTGAAATGATAGATCTGTATCAGTCTATTCTCTGATGTCTGTTGTCTGACTTCATGATGTAAGTAAAAGATATCTGTGTTTTTGAGAATAGAAATGCAGATGTTGTACTCTTTTACATCTGTGAGTATGAGACTTATATGCCTTGTCTGAGATGTTATTGTGAGAATAAGCTGTTTATATACTGTGTTCTACTTTCTGTATTTCTCTGTGTCTCTCTCTCTCTTTCTGAGAAGCCTTGTGTGTGTTGTAATTACATGTACAATTCTAAGATCAGCAGATATTTATTCAGTAAGTGTTACTCTTGTTTTTACAGTTTCATACACTAATAATAGTTCTTGATTACTTCAGTGTCAGAGACTATTCTAATTGAAGATAATCACACTGCTGAGACTACTCTCTTTCACTTTCAAGCTTCTTCTGTCACTTTCTCTTCCTTCTCTGCAGAGAAGATTGTATGTATACTGAGTTATAAGTATTCAGTTCTAAGTGACTCTTATTATTATTTATCTGATTCTGTGTTTTCTTCTTCTTTTATTTCTTTCATCTCTACTTTCTCTGTCTTGACTTCTGATTCTGTGAGTTCTGTACTCTTCTTCAATTTTTCTACACACATATATACATATTTCTATATTGGCATTTCAGTCAATCTTGTAATAAATGATATTAATGTTGTATGCAGAGTGATAGAGAAACCAGAGATATATACAGTGTTATTATAAGAGCAGTGTAAGAGACCTACTTTGAATAGATCAGTATAATATTATAGGTCTTATATAACAAAGAGAAAAATGTTAGAGAAGGAAAGAAAGAGAAAGTGTGAGAATCAGTGATTGAAGTGAATATTTATACGTGTATGTAGTGATGTACACAGTGAAGCTTCAGAGTGAAAGAATATACGCGCATTTGTAGCAGCTGAGAATTGGCAATCAGAACAT